ACTCCAGCCTTTGTGTGTGTGTGTGTGTGTGTGTGTGTGTGTGTTCGTGTGCATGTGTATGCACAAATCTTTTTTTTTTTCCAAGTCAGAGTTTCTTTGTGTAGCCTTGGCTATCCTGGAACTCACTCTGTAGACCAGGCTGGCCTAAAACTCAGAGACCCACCTGCCTCTGCCTCCCAAGTGCTGGAATTAAAGGCGTGCGCCACCACCACCTGGCTCCCGCACAAATCTTAGAAAACAAAAGCTAACCTGGAGTAAAAGGTGAGAAGGAAGAAGCTGGGTTAATGCCCTTGTCCTTTACCTGCATCTGGTGGAAGGTAGAAAACAAAGATGGCAAGGATCGTGATGAGGATGCATGGGGCAATGACATTGACCAGGTAGAAGAGAGGCTTCCGTCGAATGATGAGATAGAAGATAACTTCCTCACGATGTCCTTTCTTCCCTCCTCTCCAAACCCCTGGAAGTTGGATTAACCTAGAGGGTTTGTGGATAATCTCCCATTGGCCATTCTCTGGAGGAGGGAGACAGGATAAGTAAACCCAGGTGTGGCAGCTGCCCTACTACGTGTCTGATATGGCACACTGCTAGGCAGCAAACTTCTAATAAACAAGCCTCCACTTCCATATTTGTTTAGTGTGTGTGTATGTGTGTGTGTGTGTCTGTGTGTGTGTCTGTGTCTGTGTACATGCCAGAATGTGAATTCAAAAGCCAGAGGACAACTTTTGGGAGTTCTTTCCTTCCACTGTAGGTCCCCGGGACTGAATTCAGGTTGTCAAGTTTATATTTCAAGAGCTTTTACCACTGAGATATCTCATCTTCCCTGTGTGTGCTGTATGTGTTTTTTGTTTGTCTGTTTTAAGAATCAGGGCCTCTGAATGTAGTCCAGGCTGACCCTGAATATACAGCAATACTCCTGCCTCACCCCACCCCTTCAAGCACTGGCAATTAAAAGTCTGACTTACCAAGCTTGGCTTCCTTTTCCATATTTGCAGTATTGATCATCATCCCCAAGTTGCTAACCCCACCAGGTTCTCCGAGCATCAATAACCAAACCTTTGTATCAGCCTTGGATGCGAGAAGCATGCCCACTCACCAATGAAGGTCCCTTTATGAATGTAGATTTCCCGTCTCTCCTGTCCATTAGGATCTAGGCCTGTCTTCAGGCTGACCTCAGAGCTGTCATAACTGTAAGAACTAAACACCATGGTGCAGTTCTGCCAGTCAAAGGGGAAGTAGGTGACCTGGATGGAGGGGAAGACACTGGAGCTGCCAAAGAACTGGCAGGGAAGGACTAGGGGAGTTTGGAAGGTCATTGGACTCAAGTTACAAAGGAGAAGGGATCATCTGAAAATGGCAGCCGGCCTCTGAAGAAGATGGAAAACCAAAGCAAGTACACAGGGCAGTGTAAAGTCAGAGCAAAGAAACAAGAGGTTTGGGCCAGGAGGAATTGGCACAGGACTGGGAGTAGGTGGGGAGTGAGGAAGCTTGAGAACAGACAAAGTTTAAAAACCTGGATGCTGCAGCTGCTGCGATACAGGCCAGGGGGTTGCCAGCGCACAGAGCCCTCAGAGGATACCACGACATTAATGTCCAGGGCAACGTCAAAATTTCCGTCATTGCTAAAGGGAAGAGATCTCTTCATATGGGATCTGGATCTGTCCTCCGGAGACCCTGCCCCCTCCCGGATGGTTCATCTCTCCTCCTCCTATGGCTTACCCTAGTCCCCTCATGCCTCAACCCCGCCCAGACTTTAGAAAAAGACCCTACTTGTTCAGCAGCACCACGTCAGGGAGCCAAACGGATTCAGCAGTGATGCGGAGAGAATCGATGCCGTCGTGTTCTGCGGGGTCCCAGCTTAACCTGTAGTCGGTCCACTCCTAGGGAAGCAGAGGCTAAAGGGCTGTTTAGGCTAGAGGCCAGGGAGAGGCTTGAGGTGTCGGAGAGTGCCAGGAAGAGGGTGAAAAGGGTAGTAGCTCAGGGCTGACCGGTGGGTCAAGGGGAAAGGGTTCTGTCTCTGCCTTCACTCTCTGGGACTCACATCAACTATCCCCTCCTACTACTACCTCCCCCCTCTTCTGGCACTGAACTCTCTTTTTTCAGTGTCAAACCGAAGAGGGGTCCTAAAGAGATACCTCAGTGGTTAAGAGCACTGACTACTCTTCCAGAGGACCCAAATTGGATTCCCAGCACCTACATGGAAGGCCCAACCATCTGTAACCCAGGATATCAGAGGCCCTGGTCTGGCTTCAGAGGCTACCAGTTCTGCATGTGGTTCACAGACATATGTAAGCAAAATACCCATTCACATAAAATAAAAAAAATAATTTAAGAAATAACTGAAGAGATTGCACTAGCCATCCTACAGTGATGTTCAACCTGAAGTTCACGACCTTTTAAAGGATGGGAATTCAAATTAGTGATCCTCAAACTTGTGTCTTAAATAATCGTTGATCGAAGCTTCTGTTTCAGGTTTTTTTTTTTTTCCTTTTTTTTCGAGACAGGGTTTCTCTGTGTAGTCCTGGCTGTCCTGGAACTCACTCTGTAGACCAGGCTGGCCTCGAACTCAGAAATCCACCTGCCTCTGCCTCCCAAGTGCTGGGATTAAAGGCGTGCGCCACCACCGCCCGGCTCTGTTTCAGTTATTATATGTGTACATTATGAAGTTACTATTTAAAAAATTCTTACTGGGCTGAGCATTCCAGGAGATTAATATAAAGAAGACGGGGTGCCTTTCCCTAACCCACGGGGTCTCCATACCAGGTCTAAGTACACCTTTGTGCTCATTTCTTCATCCTTCTCGTTCTAGAATGGAAAAATTAAAAGGCAGAAGTGAAATGACGTGGGTAGAAACGAGGGCTCGGCGCGTTACTTTCTTCATGGAATCTTTAGCCCCTTTCTCTAAGTTACACCTTCTTGGGTACAAACTCCATCAACCCGAAACACCAGACCCGGATGCCTGCTTTCCTCTCTTTTATCTCCTGGTTAAGTCATGGGCCACGCCCAGCGTCTAATCGCTACAACTCTGAATCTTTGCTCAGGGTTGTTTTTTGACTGCTTGGGCACCAAACTCTGCTGGACTTTGCTAGAATATTACACCGCCCCGCCTCGAGGTCCTCCTCGTCTCAGGTCCTTCTCCCCAGCTCCGCCTCAAAACCCGCCCACAGGCGGGTTAGCAGAACAAAATTCTGTGCCTGTCATTGAAGCCACGCCCACGAACTAGTTCATTGGTCTGATTCTTATACAATCACCGCCAAAGGCCTGTTCTTCTCTTAGCATAACCCGCCCCCAGGCTGTCGATCTTCGGGGCCTCGTCTAAGCCACACCCCAGTCGGTCCTGCCCAGCAACCTCCACCCGCAGAGCCGCTCTCACCAGGCTGATGAGTTGTGCCAGGGTGAGGCCGATGCTGACCCCGACGCGGTCTCCCACCTTCCGCGCCGGCCTCACCGAGCTATCATAGTTCGAGAAAAGTTTCTTAAGCAGTTGGCCTTCGGCTTCCGACCCGCGGGCGCCTGTCGAAGGAAAGCACTAAGTGACGCTCGGGGGGTTGTGGGGAGGGCTGTCCGTGACCACTGCTCATCACTGCCTCTTGGGGTCCCAAACTGACTTACCTGGGACGAGGGGCGTCCCGAGCACCCCCAGAAGCAGAAGCAGCGCCCCTAAGGCCATGGCTCTGCCGTTTTCGCTCAGTGAGTTTGTCCGGAGAGCGGCCGAGGCCGCCAGGCCAGGGGAAGTGACGAGGCGCCCAGGAATGTGCACCTGTTGTCGGGGAACCAGCCGCCAGCCCACCCGCCCCGCCCTCGAGACTTGGTCCCGCCCGGAGCAACTGCAGTCGCCCTCCACTCACAAATGTCAGATAACACTCCGGTTGTATAAATCATCTTTAATTACAGAAAGCATGAAGTGGAGACCCAGTCCCCTGAGAGCAGAGCCAGGAGATGGGCGGAGCCTGAGCGGGGTTTGTATGAGGGAGAGGGTCATCTCTTGCAACAAGCCAGAAGTAAAAGAGCCTGAGGAAAAGTGACCTGTCTTTGAGCACTAGCCCCTCCCTTAGGACCTCCAAAGACGTTTCCACCTACATCTGCTAGACTTGGATTCTACCCCCTATTTCACTAGAGGTTCCCCATGGCTTTCCCCGTTCTCAGGTCCTTTTTGGGTACTTAAAACCCACCTGAGGTTATAAGCTGTAAGGTAAAGTAAATTCTATTTAGTTAGAAGCTCTGGGGATACTTATGAGGTCTGGGAGCCCAAGAGGCTCCGCATTTCCTAGGCCTGACCTGTAGAGGACTCGGGGAAGTTGAACGTATTGCTGAGTTGGGGGGTCTCTTTTCTGTGAGGGGGAGTCAAGGCTGTGTCTTTATTTGTCTTTTTTAATTCTAGAGTTACTATCGCTATAGACCTCAGCTTTCTGTTGTTTGAATCAGGGTCTCACATAGCCTAGGATGCCTCTGAACTCACTATGTAGCCCAGCTAGCCTTTCCCCCTCAATTCTCACCCCCCCAACCCACATCCCCTTAACCTCACAGATGCACCACACCATATCAGAAGGAAGGACCTCAGCTTTAAAAGGGATCTGGAAGGAGCTCCTGCTGAGGTAGCTAAGGGTTCAGACACAGGCTCAGTCATACCATGGCATTTTCTCCCTCTCAGCTTCCCTGCTAGGAGCCAGGTATATTCTTCCAGAATTCCTGTATCTTTCCCCAGACTCTTGCTTCCCTGGCAGAACCCCAGCTGAAATGCTGAAACTAGAAACCATGTAAAAGTAAGGTTAGTATTCTGGAGTGACGATTTTTAGAAAATTATCTAGGAAAAGCAAAAAGTGGTTCTTGATCCATTCAGTACTGCTTAGTAATTCATTCTCTCTCTCTCTCTCTCTCTCTCTCTCTCTCTCTCTCTCTCTCTCTCTCTGTGTGTGTGTGTGTGTGTCTGTGTGTGTGTGTGTCTGTGTGTGTGTGTGTCTGTGTGTGTGTGTGTCTGTGTCTGTGTGTCTCTGTGTGTTGGCTTTTGAAACAGGGTTTTGCTATTGTAGCCCAGGATGGCCTCCAACTCAAAATCCTTCTGATTCAGCCTCCCAGGTGCCAAATGACTGGCATGTGCCACCAAGCACAGCTCAGAACCAATTAGTTCTTAATTAATCATAGCTGAGTCCTATCCATAGCTCACTCTTATTCAATAACCACTAGAGAAAGTGGAAGGGTAGGTTTAGAACTTATTCTAGTACAATAATATGGCTATACAGGCTCTAGTTCCATCCTGGAAAAAAGGGCTGAGAGTCATGCTCTATGTCCTAGAGCTGAGATTCAGTAGGAAGTATGGCTCCAAAAAGGTCTAGAATACCATGCTCTAGAATTGGGTGTCTCTGGGATAAGAAGGTTTAACCTGTGTCGACCCGAGACTGGTTCCAATTCAGACCAAGGCCAGTAGCTACATTTGGAGGCTCAAATTCAGCCTCTTTTTTAAAACCAGGGGTGGGAGGTGCCCATCTAGGTCAAGGATAGAAGAATAAAGGATCCAAACATGGGTTCCAACACAGAACATAGGAATGGCCCTACCTGGCTGGGGTGTCCAGCTATATCAGAACCTGTCCAGACCAAGACAGAAGGCAGAGCAGAGAGAGGAGGAGATGAAGTCTGAGTGCCAGTGGACCAACCTAGAAAGCTATGGCTTCGCGGCAATGGGAAGGACATGGCTTCAGAGACTGGCTCAGTCAGGGCAAAGAGTATTACTTCCCTTGCCTTGTCAGCGTTGGAACCCCAGTGCCTTTTAGGAAAAACTGGGGTTCTCTTAAGGGGCAGGAGTTAGTGTGGAAAAACAAAGGAGAAGTGATCAGCCAGGATCATTTCAGGCACCCCCATCTTGGAACCTCTCCTGGGCCCCAGGATCTAAGAGCTCAGCAATTCCAGAGGTCCCAGACAGTGACTGAGCTCCCACAGGGTACAGCACCTGGTGAGACCTGGCTGCTCAGGGCGTGTGTGTGGCAACAGGGGCTAGAGCAGCAAGGCCTGGAGCAGGGCTGGGAGACGGGGTGTGGCGGTGGCTGGCACACTGGAAGTGCAGAGAGCCTCCAGTCCACGGACTACATCTCAGTGGGCAGGAGGACTGGAAGGGGAGGTCTCAGGGACACTGTGGAGAGAAGGCTCCCGGTACATGGCCACTGTGAAGGGGAAAGAGAGAGAAGCAAGGAAGGAGAATTAGGCACTCAGAGAGCCAGGAAGAAGCCGAGCTCTGAGAGGCTTCCCTTCTCTTACACCCACCCTTGGAGAACCCCAACCCAAAGGAAGAGAGCTTCCCAACCCCCAAAGGCTTTAGCCTTCCTGTCTTGGCCTGACATAACAACATCTTGTTGAACATTTATGGCCCAAGCTATGTGTCACTAAGTCTTCCTGTCAAGGTCAATACCCTCCCACATCTCCCACATGACCCACCTTTTCTTGAGCCCATACCCACCCTCCAGGAGCTTGGGCACAAAGTGGGCAGCTGCCTTGGTCTTCTTGACTCGGTTTCCCTTCATGACCCGGCCTTCCTTGTCCAGGCCTAGGTACCAGGCCCTGCCAGAACGACGCTGACGATAGAGAGCAGAAGCATACAGGACATAGTAATTCTCAAAGACGCACTCCTTAAAGCGACACTCCGCTGTGAAATGCGGCTGAGGAGACACAGATCCAGAAAGAGGCATGGATACACCACACACACACACACCACACACACACACACACACACACACACACACACAGAGAGAGAGAGAGAGAGAGAGAGAGAGAGAGAGAGAGAGAGAGAGAGAGAGAGATATCACTGCCAGAATGGAGCCCTTGGGAAGAAGCAGCAAAGATATAATCCATACATTATTTGGAAAGGAGGACGGCTGCTACTGAGTCCATGCAGAAACGAGAACACAGAGAGAGTAAGGAAGAAGCTGGACCACCCAGGGGCAGGAAATAGATTTATAGGGTCACTAGAAATAAGATTTCTTCTCCTCATTTCCAACTTCTTGTTTATCCAGAGGAAAGATGAGGCTGAGAAGTGCAGCCTTAATAGCTGAAAGAGTCAGGCATCCAAAGAGCAAAAGAAAGAGCCTGGGGACTCGAGGGTGAGCGGTGCCAGTAGACAGAGATGAGTACACTCTAGGGGAGGAGTTCCGGACTAGGCCCTGATCAGCCAAAACAGGAAGGACAGAGTCCTGGGTGTAAGTCCTGTATGTGGCAAAGAACTGGTATATGCTGAGGTGTCCCCAGTATTCCAGGCCTCTTGGCTTCTTTGTCTTACCGAGCTGTACAGCAGCCCCTCAGAATTCATGGCCATGTAGTGACCCAGCTTGGCACTCTGGATGGTGACCACACGGAGCCCCACAGGAATCAGATTGAAGTGGGCTGGGGGCAGAAGCAAGCATCAATACCTAGGTACCTCACTTCCATCTGAACCCTGCCCCCCAACTCCAGCCCCACTGCCTCCCTTGGGGCTCAGGAAGACAAACAGAAGGTAGCAGAGCCTGAAAAGGTGATAGGATTGTCATCTCCTGTCCCCATCTTCCCACTTCCCACCCTGCAGCTGGTGTCCCTTCTTACTGAAGGAGCTGGTGTCCTCTGGGGTGCCCTGGATGCTCCCATCGGGATTCGCCTGGAGGTAGAAACCCTGGCGGCAGAACAGTTTGGTGACGATGCCTTTGAGCTGAGGCTCTGGAGAGAGAGAGACATTTATCTTTAAAAATGACATCTCTGTTCCCAGAAACATTCCTACACTTGGCGGGATCACAGGAAAGAAGGAAGGGGAACTGAAGAGAAGAGGGTTCCAGGGCCCCACCTCCCTTATCCTCCAAGCAAGCTTCCTTCCACCTCTCTTTGATTCCTGAGGAAGCTGGAGTGTGGGTCCCTTCCGCTTTCTTTAATCATGAGCGCCAGCTTAATTTATTGAAATTTATTTAAATGGTTTAATTCCTTCTCCCCACCAGAGTTGGGGGAGGGGGCAGGGAGGAGGTAGAAAAGAGAGACATAAAGACAACCGACAGTGCCAGAGACGCAGGACAATGAGTTTGGAAATGTCGGGGTGAGCAGCAAGGTGACCACCGCGAAGGGGCTCCCCCTCAGAAGCAGGGGTGGGACTGGGGTTGACTGACGCTGACTCAGCACCTGCTGCTGCAGCTGCCGCTCGCTTGGCGCGGGCCTTGCTCTGGCACAGCGCCGGCCTGTCTGACACTGACCCATCTGTCTGTCTGTCTGTCAGTCAGTCGGCTGGCTCACGAGGGTCCAGTTTTCCCTGAGACTGAGCCTCTACCCTTCAGCCAGGTAACTGGCCTGGGATGGGGGACATTTAGACCACATCAAGGAAAAGGAAGAGGGGACAGAGATGGAGAGGCAGGCTGCATCACGTGGGGGCTGGGTCCCACTCAGAGGGTGGGCTGCGGACTGTACCACTACCTACTGTTGGTGGTGGGGGAGTAGGGCGCAAGGGGCTACCCCTAGGAGAACCGGCAGCGTCCTGGAGCGAGGCCAGAGGGACTCCCTAACTGTCGTACCTGGACGGGAATCACATACCAACCCTTACATCTCTCCTTTCCTGTGGCTTGCTCTCTGCCGATTTCCCTGTTCCCCCTTGTAAGTGGTACGACCCCCCGCCTAAGTCCCTGTGCAGGTCTTCAGCCTGAACTGTGTGTGAGATCCTACTGGCAGAGGGTCCCCGGAGCCTGTAGGACTGGATTTCCGAGTCACACAGGAGTAATGGGAGGGGGGTGCCCAGCACTCTTCTCGAAGCGCAGGTCACAGAAGGAGGGCGTACGGAGGGGGCTGGCTGACGAGGTAGCAGCAAGGACACCCGGGGGAGAGCAGGAGAGATTGGCTCCTGGCCAGGTGAGCTCGACCAGGAGGAACAGAGCCAAAGCGTGGAGGGGCGGGAGAACTGGAGCGGGGGCGGGGCAGCCAGGGCTGCAGAAACCCTCGGGGTGACCCAAGCGTCCAGAACCCCCCAAGCCCCGCCACTTCGGATGGAAAGAATCGCGAGAACCCGCACGTAGGCGAAGAACCGTGGGGGGTGGGGAGTTCTGTGTTGAAGGGGGGCCGACAGGAGCTGAGAAGCTTGGGACGCCAGACTTCGCCCCTCAAACCTTCCCCCTGCCCTCGAAAGGAGACTCGGCATTACAGGCAAAGAGGACGAAAACTAAAGGATAGTCCCGTAGATTTTGTCGTTCTGGCCCACCTCTTCCACTTCTGGGACACCCCCTCCTCATCGGGTTTCATTCGTCAGGGTCCCTGGCCTCAGGGAGGACTTCTGTCCGGGAGACCCCGCCCTAGCCACACTCACCTGGGCCGCGGTCCTGTCGTGTGGGCCGCCCCCCGCACAATCGCACCTTGGACAGCAGGATGAGGAGCTGCTTCTGGCAAAGTGACTTGGTACCGCGGGGACACACGCGCCGCTGCGCCGACACCGGCCGGCTGCCCCCGGGCTCGCGGACCTCCCGCTTCTGTCGGATCAGGCTACTGGCCAACGCCGCCATCGTGCCCCGGGAGGAGGCACCCCCAAACCAGCAGGCTCCCGGAGCACCCTGGGCTCCCCAAGAGGAGCCCTTTCACCAGGTCATGCTCTGGACCCAACCCACCACCCCACCCACAGGATCTGAAGATAAACCCCAGACCCCCGTACGTCACACCACCAGCTCCCACCCTTGGGCCCTGACTTCAGCGGCTCCAGCAGCCTATGCACTCCTCAGCTGACCTCACCCATGGATTTTGTCCCCTAATGAAAGCTTTCCCCTTCCCTCCTCTCTGGCCTCTGTATGAGATAGAGGGTACCTCCTCTATCCTAAAGTCAAGACCCTCCTATATTTCTAAGCTGTGTTCTCAATATCCTGAGGCTTCTTTCTACCCTATTTTGGGGCGCTCCTGCCCAACCTACTCTTATAAAGGGTGTGGGTCCTAAGCTTTGTGGACATTAGCTCACCCTAGGCTGCTGTCAATGTCAAGAGGAGCCCAGCTCTGTCTTTTCCTTCGCTAAACTCTAAGTGGAGTAGATCTCCCACTTTCGTCAAATACCCCCCCAGCAAATATGACTCACTATCCAGGCTGTCTAGGTTCAGTGACAAGGGCTTTCCAGACCCTCTAGCTGGATGATGTTTTTTCTCATTGTCACCTCCATGTCTAGTACCACAAAGTTGCAGCTGCTGAGACCATTTCCTCACCTTGCTACCCTCCACTCCTTTTGAAGTCACCTCCAAATCAGCCCTTCCTAGTGCATACACCGGGTGGTTGTCTGGGGGACCCTCAGTCGCCCCGAAAAAAGGAGCATCAGTCGTTTCTGTTTGTTTTCTAATGCCCCTTAAATTTCCCGAGGAACAACTGGCATTGCTTAGATCCCACACCCTCCAATCTAACAAGGCCCCCAAGAGAGGAGTGCACCCACGTTGTCAACACTCCTCAAACGTGAACAGGCCCTTAATAAGTCATAGCGCGTCAGAGCTTCCTGCGCCAGGGCTTTCTCGTCCTTCCTGGGACTGCTAAGACACCCCTTCCTTTCCCCGACGCCCCTCAACCTGTCCTGTCCTGTTGATCCGGGCGACGGATGCCGCGAGCTTCGGCTCCAGGCTCCTCCCTCCCTGTCACCCGCAAGCGGAGGTTTCCCCCCCAACGCCGGCCTAAGCGTCCCGGACCCTCAAGAAGGAGTAAGGATGTCTCTGCAGAGCGCCTCGGTTCGGCAAAGTCAGAGCACTGGGCCTGGAGGTTGGACCAGGCAGAGCGGCGGAGGCAGCAGCAGCGGCTGTGGGAAGCTGAGGCGGCGGCGGCGGCGGCGACAGAGGCTCCCCCTCCTCTGCGAGCCGGCCCGGGGGCGGGGCAGGGGGCGGAGACGCTGGGAGAAGCTGGGCGGGCGGAACCCTGGGGTTCCTTGGAAGCTGTAAGTGGGGATTGTCACAGAGGCTGGCGGAGTAGAGGCAAGGCCCGGGGTTCAGAGGAGACCAGACAAGGAGCCTGATATGGCGGGGCTGGGGGCAGTGGGTAGACGGAATAGCCGACAGAGAGAAAATGAAAAGGGACTTTACTGCCTGGGATGGAAGTGAGGACAGAAATTAATTGGGGGGGGGGGAGTGGAGAAACGGGTGGCTGTGATATCCAGTCTGGGCTGTGATCCGGCCTTAATATCTCTCTGCTTTGATATGAGCCAAATTGATCAGAACCAGGTTTCCAAAAACCAGTTCCTTCTCTCATTTTGTCAGTAAATACATTCCTCCTGGTCCCTATAGACTCTAAAAGAATCGGGGAGAGGTTCCGGAAGGCAGTACCGGGATAGAAGGGGCGCCAGTCAGATTTAGAGAACTTGGGCCTCAGGCAGGGCAGAATACTGGGGAAACCTTTTAGAGAAGAGACTTTGGACCCAAGCACACACTGTCTGTCTGCGAGGGGAAGCAGTCTCCTCCATGACCCTCTCGCCAAAGGCAACACTTTTCCATTCCCTTAGAAGAAGAATCTTTAATGGGTCCCGCCCCCTACGCCCGCTAAACCGCCCCCTTTGCGGGCAACCTTGGCTTCCTCTACAGCCTCACGCAAGGCCTGTGCAGGGTCCCCGCGGAGCTGGGCCAAAGCCCCGCGAAGAGCAGCGGAGCCATCTCCCACACCGAGCTTTCGGTCGTTCAAAAAATAATGAGGCAGCGCCCCGGCCTCTAGCACTCGGCTCAGCTCATCCAGTAGCCCAAGGCAACAAGCACCGGCATTTTCCGGCCGCGCTAGGTAGAGCGCCGGGAGCCGCTCGCACGCCCAGTAGAGCAAGGTCCGCAGGAGGTAGGGCGCAGCGGCTCGGGTCCCCGCCACCAGCGGGCGCAGCAGTGCCTGGGCCGCCGCATGTGCCTGAAGCAGCGGCGCGGGGATGCGCGCTTTGAGCGCCAGCTCCTGGCGGGCGAAGCACAGCTGCCATCCAGAGGTGCCCTGCTGCTCCGGGAGACTGCCCGGCACTAGGTAGAAAGAGGCCGATTCAGAGACCAGTGGACCCGCCCACGAGTGGCTCCGAGCCGTGTCAGGCCAGCCTGTCACGGTCACCACCGGGATCAAGTCGAAGAGCAGGAGGTGGCGTGGGGGCTCTGGAGTTGCCAGGAGGACCGTGGTGACACCCGCGTGGCGAGCTGCATGAACTAGCCGCGGGGCGCCCGGGACCGGGATCAGGGACTCAGCAACCTCAGCCAACTTAACGAAGAACCATGAAGCTACTTGTGTCGGGCATAATGTGGGCCATGCCTTTGGAGGCTCCGACGGCTTTGGGACTGGGCTTTCGTCGGCTTCCAAGGCGTCACTACTCGATGTTTCCAATGGTTCAGGAGTTTCAAGATCGGTGACGTCATTATAAGAGGATTGAGACCCTAAACGATCACTAGATGATTTTTGCAAAGACGTGTGTGGCTCAGGTTCAGGGACACAGTCATGTGACTGATCTACAGAGTTTTCCCGGTCGGTGGGACTCTCTTTGCTACGGTTTTGGTGAGTCATATCACTTTCTTCTGGGACAGGCGGTCCTAGGCAATCCTGCCAGGCCTCCCGGACCAAAATTCCACGCATTATTTCTGGAAGGCGGAGCCATGCAGAACAGGATTCCAGATCCAGTAGCAGCTCGGGCCCAGTGCCATCCAGAGAAAACACAGGCACAAGGAGTGTAAAGCCGGCATCATAATGAGGTCCCCGGGAGTAGGGACCTAAGGGGGCGTGTCCTACATCTAGGGAACCTTCACGAATCCCACCGCGAAGCAGCAAGAGTTCTGCCTGGGGTGGAAAACGAGGGTCCTGGCGGTGAACTAGACCTAAAGGAAGAGAAAGGGTCATGGTTCAAAGCCGGGGCGGGAAATGGCGAGGCTGAGGTCTGCAAATTCCCACAGTTGATAATTACTTACCGAGTAGAGAGAAGATAAAATCCTTGGCTCGGAGAAGATCAGCTCCAGGCTTGGGCCCTTCACTCCAACTCTCCTGGACACCCAGCTCCTGAATCAACTGAGTGAGCTCCTGCAGCTGTGCACCAGAGCAGAAGTCTATGTCTGTGAGAGGCCGGGCTGGGGCTGGGGGCGGTGGGCCCCACCAGGGGGCGCCCCCCCAGACGGTAGAAGCCATGCTTCTCTATCGTTTGGTGCGGGGAGCAAACAGATCCCAGTTAGCTTTGGCAGGCCTTTCTTTTGCGGCCCCCAAGTTCTCCAGTTTCCCCCTCCCTCTGAGGCAGAGCAAGGGACAGTCCACAAGTGGGTCTTGTAGATGATGTCCTCTGTGTTTAGTCTTCGGAATGAACAAATGACTAGTTCCTTCGGTTTTTTTCTCAGCAGGTTGCCCCACAGTGAATCGGTTCACCTGACTCAGCAGATGAAAAAAAAAAAAAAGGCTATTTGGCCCCTCCTGGGAATACAATTGCCAATCTTTGCCACGAACCTTTGCCCACCTCCCTTTACCTCCTTTTGAGAAGGGGTTATTGGTCCGCGGCTTTCCGACGAAGGGGTAGCTGGAAAGGTGGTAGACAGAAAGCAACATAAAAGATTCTACAGGTAACTTCCTGGTGGTCACATGTCCACGCCCTTTTCTGGAAGCTGTCTGGGTGGCTCCGGACTGGTTCCCGCCTCCTGTGAGAGTTCAGTCACGCCTCTCACCCTACTGAGATGTTGCTATCCTGGGAGTTGTAGTTTGTGTCCTACGATACAGGTTCAGCGGTGCCTTCACGTCCTTTCCGTTGTTCTGAAGTAGTGTCTACTGGAAGCTGTAGTTTCTTTTTACTTTATTTTTATCCCTTAAGTTTGTTTAGTTATTTGAGACTGGGTTTCACTGTGTAGCTCTGGATGGCTTGGAACTTGCTATGTAGACCAGGCTGACTGGAACTCAAACAGTTCCGCCTACCTCTGCCTCCTGAGTTCGGAGATTAACTGACAGACAGCACGTTTTATACAAAGTCTTGTTATGTAGTTCAAGCTGGCCTGGACTCACCATGTAGCACAGGCTGACCCTGAACTCACAGCAAGCTTCCTACTTCAGCTTCCTTGGTGACAAGAGAAGTTATAGGCTCATGCCACTACAGCGAGCTGGAGACAGTATATTATTCTGTCTAACCAGTCCTACACATACACTTGTTGGAACTGGAGAAGGATAATCGGTTGGATCCGAATAGTAAATAATGAACGTACCCTCCATTCCATTTTTGAAGCTCCACAGTCTCTTAGATGAGGCTCTTTAAAGGAAAAACTAAAACTTTGTTTTTAGTTTTATTTATCTAACTTGAGATAGGGTCTCACTGTGTAGCTATGGCTGCCCTACACTCACTATGTATATCAGGGAGGCTAGCTTTGAACTCACAGAGATCCATCTGCCTCTGCCTCCCAGGAGTTAAAGGCCTCTGATCATTTTAGAGAGACTATGGCCTGGAAATGTTGTGCTGGGCTTAGGAGGTGGAGCACCTGGGCAACTTAGATTTTTTTTTTTTAAGATTTATTTTATTTTATGCATATGAGTGCTCTGTCTGCATGTACACATTCGTGCCAGAAGAGGGCATCAGATCTCATTACAGATGATCGTGAGCTACCATGTGGTTGCTGGGAATTGAACTCAGGTCCTCTGGAAGAGCAGCCAGTGCTCTTAACCGCTGAGCCATCTCTCCAATCCTTTGACTCTTTTAAAAGAAGGAAAAAGCTGAGAGTAGCCTTTAGTCTTAATGCTTGGGGTGCAGAGGCAGGCTGATCTCTGTGAGTTCAAGACCAGCCTGGTCTGCACAAAGAGTTCCAGGTAGTGAGGGGTGCACAGTGAGACCTTGTCTAAAAAAATAAAATAAAATAAAATAAAATAAAATAAAATAAAATAGGAATAGTGCATATGAGTTGTCCAGGATCAGAGTTGAGGTAGGGGACTGGTGGGAAAGCATCTTCCTGGAGTCAGTGGTCATAATACTAAGGCAGGAATACATAGCTGACATGGAACTAGACATTTGAATCTTAAAAGGGATTGCAGCCAGGGATGCTCACGTCAGACATGCAGAATTGTGACAGGAAAACCACTTGGGAATTCAAAGTTACATGTACACAGAAGCTATTAGGACTAAATTGAAAGTCCAGAGGAAACTCCCAGCTAGGTTAGGTCAGACCACAAGAACTAGGGCAGGGAATTACATCAGTAACCTATGTTACTAGAAATCAGAGTAAAGGATCAGAGTATAGCACAGACACAGGATGGGATAAAGAGACAGTAAACCCGTAAACACGAAGGAGGTTCACAGAGCAGACCACCACCAGGCCAGGCCTTCATAAACTCCATCTGCTTCTGACCTCTCTTACATTCTCAGTTAGATAATTTACCTGGGACATCTTGAAAAACTAGAGGATTGTGGGAGGGTGACAGCTCAAGTTCATAATCTCAGCACTTGGGAAGCTGAGGCAAGATGACTACTATGAACCAGAGACTCACCTTGGATGCAGAATTCCAGGTGAGCCCAGCCTAGAGGGAGATCCTGCCCCAGAATTGGGGTAGGGTGGAGTCAATAGACAAACCCCTGGAACCAGAGCTCACCTAGGAAACCCAGACCTAAGGGGTTTCAAGTCACTGACAAAAGGGTACCCTTCCCCTTCATCCATGATGGGGAAAGCAGAGAACCAGGAACACAAGTTTGTATATCTGTGACCCAAGAGGCGAGATCAAGAGAAGTGAAGATGAGTTTTTTGTATTTGTATGGGTGTTTTGCCTGCGTGTGTGTCTGTGCACCTTTTGTATGCAGCTCTTGGAACCAGAAGATGGCCTCAAATCCCCTGGGACTAGTGTTACAGATGGTGGTGTTAGCCATCATGTGAATGCTAGAAATTGATCCTAGGTTCTCTTGACTGCTGAGCTCCCTCAGGTCCCATGTATGAGGAATTTTTGCCTCTGTGTGTGTGCATGTGTGTGTGTGTGTGTGTGTGTATGTGTGTGTATGTGTGTGTGTGTCTCTGTGTGTGTGTGTCTCTGTGTGTATGTGTGTTGTGTGTGTATGTGTGTGTATGTGTGTCTCTATGTATGTGTGTTGTGTGTGTGCATGTTTGTGTGTGTGTCTGTGTGTGTATATGTGTGTTGTATGTGTGTATGTGTGTCTCTGTGTGTGTATGTGTGTTGTGTGTGTGCGTGTCTGTGTGTGTATATGTGTGTTGTATGTGTGTGTATGTATGTGTTATGTGTGTCTGTGTGTGTGTCCTTATGTGTGTGTCTCTTTGTGTATGTGTGTGTGTCTGTGTGTCTGTGTGTATATATGTGTGTCTGTGTATGTGTATATGTGTGTGTATGTGTGTCTGTGTGTGTATATGTGTGTGTCTGTGTATATGTGTGTCTGTGTATATGTGTGTGTGTCTGTGTGTATGTGTCTGTGTGTGTGTATGTGTGTGTATGTGTGTTGTGTGTGTGTGTGTGGTGGTGGTCAGAGGACAACTTGTGGAAATCAGTCCTCTCCTTCCACCATGTTTATCCCAAGGATCAAACTCAAGTCATCAGGCTTCGATGCTTTACCCATCGTGCTATACTCTTCCTTATTTCCTTCCTTCTTTTTCTTTCTTGTCTGTCTTTCTTTCTTTGAATTGTTTTGTTTTTCAAGAGAGGGTTTCTCTGTGTAGCCCTGGCTGTCCTGGAATTCTCTTTGTAGATCAGGCTGGCCTTGAACTTGTCAATTTACCTGCCTCTGCTTCCAGAGTGCTGGGATTAAAGGCATGCACCACCACCCAGCTTTTCTTTTTTCTAATATGTTTTTATTTTACGTATGTGTGCATGTGCACATCCGTCTCCTCATACCACAGTTTGTGTGTGGAGCTCAGAGGACACCTTACCATAATCGACTCTTTTAACCCTGAGATCAAACTCTCATCAGACTTAGCAGCAAGTGCCCCGACCTTCTGAGCAATCTCAGCAGACCCTTCCCTTTGTATTGAATCAGGGTGTCTTATAGGTAAGATTGGCTTTGAACTCTTACTTCTGTCTCTATCTCTCAAATTCTGAAATTATGAACATGCACTGCCATACCCAGTCTTTAAAGAAAAGAATGATCTGTGATCCTTAGGTGTGGTGGCTCATTGCCTATAATTCTAAGATTGAGACGCTGGGGCAGCAGAGGGTTGCCTCTGAATGTGAGGCCAGCCTGTACCTATACAGTTCCTTCAGCCAAAGTGTCCTCGATGTCTATGCCTCACAGATCAACAAACACCCCACTGCCCAGGACCAGGCATCCAGACAGGTCACATGGTCTCGGATTCCTACCAGAAACAGTAACTGGTGGGGAATCTCTCTTAGGCACCTTCACCAAGAGGCAAGTTACATACCTTATGTTGGAGTTGTTGTCATAGGACAGCCTGAGCTACAGTATTAGAGAATCTCAACTCCTTCCTTAAAAACGGCAGGCATAGTGGTGGAGTATGCCTTTAATCCCAGCACTCATGATGCTAAGGCTGCAGAATCGCAAGTTCAAGCCTAGCATAGACTATATAGAATGAGTTCATAGCTAGCCTGGGCTACATAACAAGAGCAGGTCTCAAAAGAATTTTTTTTCTTTGGTTTTTCGAGACAGGGTTTCTCTGTGTAGCCCTGGCTGTCCTGGAACTCACTCTGTAGACCAGGCTAGCCTCGAACTCTCGAACTCAGAAATCTGCCTGCCTCTGCCCCCCAAGTGCTGAGATTAAAGGCGTGTGCCACCACCACCCGGCAAAATTTTTTATTTTTTTGCTATGATAGAAATGTCCTAGCTGGGCAGTGGTGGCGCACGCCTTTAATCCCAGCACTTGGGAGGCAGAGGCAGGCGGATTTCTGAGTTTGAGGCCAGCCTGGTCTACAGAGTGAGCTCCAGGACAGCCAGGGCTACACAGAGAAACGCTGTCTCGAAAAGCCCCCCCAAAAAGAAGAAGAAGAAGAAGAAGAAGAAGAGAAGAACAAGAAGAAGAAGAAGAAGAAGAAGAAGAAGAAGAAGAAGAAGAAGAAGAAATGTCCTGCGTCTCTGCTGTCCAGTTACATGGGGTTCTCAGAACTTAAAGATGTAGAGCCTGAAGAACAGAATTTAAATTGACGTCTTTTTGAGACAAGCTTTTGCTATGTAGCTCTGTCTTGGCTCAACATACAAATCACCTTGCTTCAGGTTCCCACATTCTGATCATACAGGTGTGATCTACTCTACCCAGCTCAGATTTTTTTTTTTTGAGAGGCTCTACGTAACCCTATCCTAGAAATTATGTAGACCAGACTAGTCTTGAACCCACAGAGATCCACCTGCCTCTGCCTCCTTGGTGCTGGGATAAAAGGCATGCACCACCATGCCCAGCTTAATTTATTATAATCTTAATGAGTGGTTGCCGGCATGGATGCGTGCCACATGTGTGCAATGATCACAGGCCAGAAGATGGCTGAAGTTACAGACAGCTGTGAGCCACCTGGCACAGGACCTGCTCTTACCAGATGAGCCATCTTGTCAGGATTTTTTTTTTTCCTGAGACAAGGTTTCTCTGTGTAACACCCCTGGCTGTCCTGAAACTCACTTTGTAGATCAGGCTGGGCTTGAACTCACAAAGCTCCACCTGCCTCTGCCTCCCTAGTGCTGGGATAATTTTTTTTTTTTTTTGAGTTAGGATCTCCAGTGGCCCATGCTGACCTTGAGTTCATTCTAGAACTGAGGATTCCTTTGAACTCCTATCTCCACTTGCCAAGTGCTGGGATTCAAGTGTGCAACACAACACTTGGTGAGAATTTTAAATTTTAATTGACATTCTGATAGTCACATTTGGCTAGTGGTTAGTATTTTTTTTTCCCCCTGAAAATCACCTATGGAGCTGTGGAGGACGATAGGAACGTGTTCATTCTGTGACTGTTTAAGACAATCAGTATCAGTGGTAGTGCTGGCGTGGAGAGCCTCAACCAGCCACAGAATGCTTCTCTTGCCTCTTTATTCCCGACGCATATTTGTCCCCTCTTTGTTCAAGGTTCTCATCACATTTTGATATCCCCACTCCTTCTGGGTCTCCTCTGAGTTTCTGGGCGCCTCTTGACGAAAGCGCCTGGAAGATAAAGCTTCACACTTATCCCTTCCAGTTACTAACGGTTTCTGGCGGGAATCAAAGACCACGTGACCGTGTGACCGGGTGCCTGGTCCAGGGCAGTGGGGCTTCCAGTTGATTTTGGGAGGCATAGACATCTGGCGATACTTCTGGCAAGGTGGCGGAGCTGTATCTACAGGGTGGTAGACCCAGTCTTGGCTGTCTAACCGCCGTGGGGGTGACTGCAGCTCAATCAGTACAGGTACCGCTGAAAAAGTTTTTAGGTCCGCGGAGATCACTGGGGCCTTGGAAGGGCAGGAATTTTGATTGACAGGGACAGAAGTCCAGGGTAAGTGCTGCTCGGTATTGTCCTTTTGAGAAGCCATCTTACACACGAAGGATTTCACTGGGGAAGGTGTTAGCATTATTGGCTGAAGTGAACCTGAGATTTGAGCAGAATCTGTACCCGGAACATAGCTTTGTCTTTTGGTGAGGCCGGAGTCTAGGATAAGGCCTGAGTCCTTGCAGGGTCTAGCTTGCTGGGTAAGGCCTGGAGGCTTGAAGCCGGAGCCCGGAGCAAGCGCTAGGTCCTGATGAGGACAGGGATCTTGATCCGTTGCTGAGCAGTCCTGAAGGTTAGAGCTTTGGCTATGTTCTGAACTGTAAATGCTGACATCTTGGTTAATGTCCGATCTTTTTTCGGTTTCAGTGGCATTGATAAGGCTGCTACTCTTGTAGGAGTCAGAGTCTTGGATAAGATCTGGGACTCCGCAGATTCCAGAGTCTTTGATAAGGCCTAGATTCTTGTAGTCTCCTGAGTCTTGTTTGAGACCTGAGCTCTTATGGAGACAAGAAGTTTGGACAAGACCTAGGCTCTTAAGGGGACCAGATTCCTGGGTAAGTCCTGAACTTTTGCTCACTTCAGAATCTTCGGTATGGCGCTGACTCTTCTGTGGTCTAGAGTCTTGGGTAAGGCCTACATTCCTGCAGACTCCTGGATGTTGTATATTTCCTGTAACGTTACCTCCAGAATCTCGACAGGTGTCTGGCCTCTTATAGTTGGTCACTGAGAGGGGGTCTTTATTTTTGTTGATTACAGTATCTTGGTTTAATGGCGCATTCCTGTAGACCAGAGAGTCTTGCATAAAGCTCAAAGTCCGCTGGCCAGGTGTTTCATTAGGTAACCCATTCTTGTGGAGACTGGAAGGTGGGATGGCACCCAAGGCTGGACGATTCCTAAGAACACTAGCGTCTTGAATGGCAGCTGGACTCCTTAGGCCAGCATCTTGAGAGAGCTCTAGATTCTTTTGAAGGCAAGAGTCTTGAGAACTGTTTGGGTTCACGCAGAGGTAAAGATCTTGAGTATGATCTGGAAACTTGTAGAAACCCAAGTTCTTGTTGATGCCTGGGGTCAGAGTAAGACCCGGGTTCTTGTGGAGGCTTGAATCTTGGGTAAGGCCTAGGTTCTTCAGGAATCCTGGATTTGGGGTAAGGCTTGGGTTCTTGTGGAGGCCTGGATCTTGGGTAAGGCCTGGGTTTTTCTGGAGTCTTGGATTTGGGGTAAGGCTTGAGTTCTTCTGGAGGCCTAGATCTTGTGTAAAGCCTGTGTTCTTGGGAACTCCAGAATCCTTGGCAAGGGATGGAGTCTTTTGCAGGCCAAGGTCTTGGTTAAGGTTTTGATTTTCAGGGTTTGGAGGTTGGATTAAGGACTGAGAAATGGTGGAGAACTGAGAAGGGATAGAGGAAGCCGTCTGAGGAGAATTGGGAGTTGAGAGAAAGGAGGGGGCTTGTGTTAAATTGGAGAGCTTCTGATGGTTAGACTGAGACACAGCAAATGTTCTGGGAGAAACAAGCGGCAGAGAGAGAGTGCATGGTGGAGGGACGGTGGGCAGCATGCTCTGGGTAGGGCTGGGGGAGTGAAGGCAGGGTTTCGAGGGAGTGGCATCCTGGGCATAGACCAGGAACTGGTGGTAGAGCGGAGCCTGGGCTTCCCCAGTTTTCCTCTCAGAACAGCAAGGAGGAACGCTGCTGTAAGGGAAGGTCTTGGGCTGGGAGAACTTATCTTTGGCATTATCTGAGCCCTTCCATTCCATGTTCCCCAACTCCAGGTAGCCCAGCGTAGGCCCTGAAGGAGGCTCAGCACTGTCTCCACCATGCTGCTTTGGTGTTTGCTCAGTAGTACTAGAATTTACCAGGCCCGTCACCTCTTGAGGCCTAGAGAGGGTGTTCAAGTCCTTCCTGAAGTACCTCGAGTCCTGGGAGCTGTGTTTAGGGAACGTGTTCTGCTTCACTCTTCGGGCATCATAGACCATATGGCTAGTAGGAAAGCTGGGGCCAAAAGTAGCCACCATGGAAGGGACAGAAGACAGGATAGGGGTAGAGCTGGTGGTAGGAACTTGAGCAGGTGCTTGAGTAGTAGTCATGGTCATGGACAGTGCTAGGGCAGGGGCTGGGGCACAGGTTGGGACAGGGGCCAGGACACAAGTGGCGGGGGTGAAGGTTGAGGAAGGGGCTGGGGCAGAGGTTGGGTTGGGCGCTGAGTTACGGGCATACAGATGAATGGGAGAATGGGATGGGACATGTCCTAAGACTTGAGACGTTGTTTCTTTAGGGACATCAGCTTGGGCGCGGGTCAAGGTGTGTACTGGGATTTGGACTGGATCGTGGCCTTGGGACTGGAAGGAAGCATATGCAGGAGACTTGGTTGGGGGTTGAGGTGATGTATGGACAGAGTTTTTCTTGGGGCTGTGGGCTAAACCTTGGGCTGGGGTTGTGGTTGATAGTGGGCTGGAGGGCAGGGTCTGTCCCAAGGCATGGGATTGACTATGAGTTGGGGCCTGGGTGGGGGGATAGGGTGAGGTGGGTGCTGGGTGACGGGATGACGTAGGAGGTGGAGCCTTGGCTGGTTTTGGTACTTCACTGAGGGCTGGGGTAAACTCTGCTGCACGGGATGGCGGTGTGTGGGCCGAGGTATGCTTAACACCCTGTGCCCTGAATTCAGAGTGCTCCGAGGTCTGAGTCTGGGACTGGGTGGAGGGGTGCTCATGGGTGTTGGTTGAGGTATAGGTTAGAGCCTGGGCCGGAGCATGGGGTGGACTGTCAACTGTCGCCTTAGTCTTGTTGTCTTTGGGTGAAGAGGGCGGAACCATGTTCAGCTTGCTTATCTTTGGAATCTGGGGAGAGATCTCTGGCCTGGAAAAGGAAGAAGCTTGAGTCTTCGTGGCTGTGGCGGGAGGGGCTTCTCCAGCTCCTATCAGCCCTTCTTTCCACAGTTCCCACGGGGCTTCCGTGGGAGCCCTGCCATGTCCACACTGGGGTGGCATCCAGCAGCACCTAGAAATGTTCTCATCATTTGTATCTGGTATCCAAGAGTCAAGGTGATTGACATGCCCGGGTAGGAAGCCGGGGCGGTGGTGGAATTGGGCAGGGAGTCTTGAACACAGGTTCTTGGTATCTGCAGTATAACACATGCACATGGGTCGGGTTTAGACCAATGGGTTGCTTTCCCTGCTGTAGGGAGAGCAGGATGGGGAAGGACAGGGTGCCAGGGTGGGAGTAGGGGCTGTGACAAAAGGGACAAGTACATCCCCAGGAGACCACTCACCTTTGGGGAAATAGTGATGGAAAAGAATCCGCAAAGAGCTCTTCAGATGCTTCCAGAGCTGAGGGGAGCAGAGGAAGGAGAGCCCAGAGGTCAGGTGAGCCCTGAAGGTCAGTGTTCATCTGGCCGCATCCCAGCCGACCTCCCACTTTAGCCCCTTGGGCCCCCCAGAGCTTGGGCTGAGCCTGGAGGCACATGCCTATAACTACAGCTCTCAGGAGACTGAGACGGGGAGATTATAAGATTCACCCCAAGTCAAAACTAACAAGCAAACAGCCCCTGAGCCCCCTCTACCCCGTGCCCAGACCCTGCCCTGACCAGAGTCACCACATTGATTCCCACGTTGAGCAAGATGAAGGTGCCCAGAATCAGAAGAATTGAATCTCCTAAATCCTGGCATTTCCTGAGGTTGGTGCCAGAACAGGAATGGGCTCCGTGGTAGATTCGTTCACCCATGACCTGGGGTCCCAGGCCTACCTGGGCCCCATGGCCCCCACAAACTAGAAAACAGGCCCGCCCCCTAGTGGGGGAGGGGAGGAGGATTGAGTCACAATGGAGCAGATGGCTGGGATCACAATGAGATGGTGGAGGAGGTCCCAGGATGAAGTGCCCTGGTGACCAGGTCTGAGGAACTTAAGCCTGTAGGCCAGCACCCCTCCCTTTTCTCAACCACTCCACCTCACCGTGTTCTGATGCGCTTAACTCAAATACGCCTTACTCAAGAAGTTGAAAACCCAGAATCTTGCACCCCTTGATCACTCCTGAGATCAGGAATCCCCTTGACCTCAGAGACTTAGCTGGAATCTAGAGCCTTAGACTTCTTCCCACACTGAGTCTCAGGCTCTTGTCTGCCTGTTCTCTGGCCTCAGTTTTTTGCGTTTTTTTTCTCTGAATTTACTTTATGTATATATGTACACGAGTATGTTGCCTGCATGTCTGTGTGCCACAGTGTGCCTGGTCCACATGGAGGTCAGAAGAGGACATCAGGTCCCCTGGAACTGGAGTTACAAATGGCTGTATGGGTGCTGGGAGGAGAACCCAGGTCTTCTGCAAAAGCTGCCCATTTACTGAGTCTCCGCTCCAAGCCCTGACCTCACAGGTTCTTGAGCAGAGCTGAGTTCCTTTGGGAACAAGAACGGAGTGCACTGAGACCTCCAATCTGCAATGTAGAGCGGGTGAGACTCTCCGTACAGGATCACCAGGCACCTACTAGCAGGAACATAGCCCCCAGGGCAACAGGAACAACTAGCCAAGAAGAGTGGTGTCTCGTTTCAAGAATCCCAGGCCACTGAAAGGAGAACTTCCAAACAACAGACAACAACAGAGTTTTCTGGACTCTTTCTCTTTATTCCTTTCTCCATGCCTTGCCCCAGTATTCACGTTCACCTCTGCTCAGTTGAGTTTCCCTGTCCGGCTTCTATGCAGAGAGGGCCTTGAAGCTGAGGTGGAAGGTGGTGGCAGCGAGCTGGCCCGCCCTCTGTTCTCCTGCACCTGCCTCTTCAGCTCCAGGCTGTCATACACCTGGTAGTTGGCATTGCCGCCTGGATTCCGACTGAGCGGAACAAAGGTGGTTGGAGGTGGGGTTGGGTCAGAAATCTGGACTTCCGCCAAGCGCTGGGAGGAGTGAGGGATCATCAGGCCCGAGCTGGCAGTTGGGGCCCTTTGGTACGAAGCCTCACCCAGTGCCGTGAGGGAAGTAGAAGTGGTCAGAGGATGTCGAGAGGGGAAAACCTCAATCCAGTCAGGGGCTCGCCTGCGGACTTCGTGAGATTCCCGGGAGCTATAACCCACGTGTCCCATGGATTGTGGTGGGCTGTGGTTCGGTTGGCTGTGAGTGTAGCTAGGGAAGTTCTGCCGATAGGCCTGTGAGGAGTTGTGGTCCCGGTAGCCTGGGGCCTCTGGCCTGGGGTTCCTGGATACAAAGGCAGGTGGCGGCGGCTCACAGCCTTCTGTCCCACGGCGCCACTGATCCCTGGCATCATATGGTATGTGGCCCCCTGAAGGGAAAGGGCTATAACCCACAGTGACCCAGGAAGGGTTAGGAAGCAGCCGGCGTGGAGGAGGCGGTGATGAAGCCCACTGCTCAGCTTCCACGTTACCCCAAATCCGGGACTGTGAATAATGGGGACCGAAGCCCTGTAACCTCAGTTCTGATTTGGCTTCTACTCGCTTAGGCAAGCGGCGCAGCTCTGGTGACAGGTAGAGAGAGGGTAATGGGAGGCTGGCGAGGATTCCACCCTGGCGACCCCACAGTCCCACATTGGAGGCCAGACGTACTGGCTTACGCAAACCACCCCAGCTCCTACGGGGTTGCTTGGCATGCGGGCAGGACCGATCATCCTCCAGAAGGGAATCCCGGTCTTCCAGGTCAAAAAAGGGCATTGGCCTCATCTGTGACACCTTGTGGCTTTGAGGTTGTTTACGAAAGGTTGGGCAGCCATGGGGGAATTGCCTGTTGTTCCGAAGTCTCTGCTGGTGGCTGTGGCAGCCCTGTTGCTGGTTGCTTTGGCGAGTCTGAAGGTTACCCTGTTGGTAGAGGTAGCGCCTGCGGCTGCGCCTGTCATCAGAGCGCTTACGGAGAAAATGGGAAGAGGAAGAGGAACACTGTGTGGGTTGGGCCATCTTCACTTGTACAGGGTCGAGGACACAGTGGATGTGGACATCCTGTACGTTGGCTGGCTGGGGCTCTTTGGGGGGACATTCGGTAACCTGGACTTCATCTAAGAGGCAAGAGGCAAAAGAGTTCAGGGTTAGGAACATGTGGTCCCGGTTTTTTAGGATCAGGGTGTGTGTGTGTGACACTGTTGTCTAGCATACTTACTTTTCTGATTCATCCAACAGATCATCTTGTCTATGGCATTCTGGAGCCCATTCCACATCTGGAGGTGGTGGGAAGATGGGAGTGAAGACCAGCTCTCCAATCCCACCCCCGTTCCCAACAACCCCACCCATTTCTGCAAGTGAAGCAAGCTTGTAGCTGGCTTTTCTAGAGAGCCTTCAGCATTCCTGTAGGTCATCCACAGTAATCACTGACCACGGTTGTCACATTGAGGCTGATGTTGACCAGAATGATGAGGCCCAGCAGCAGGAATAGGATGTTCTCAGCATCCTGGGGGCTTTCTTGGTATTGATTGCAGCACCCCAGGGAGTTCTGCAGCAGCTGGTTTTCCATGGTGGGGGGGTCCTAAGGCCACCTGGGCCACCCCCCCACCCAACCCAACCCACACTGTTTTCACGCCAGAATTGAGAGATGCTTACTACCTGGGGGAGAGCCAGGTCATAATGAGGCAGGTTAGAGTCATAAAGCAGGGGTAGAAGAACTTTTATTCACTTTTGACCCACAACATGACAGTTTTTATCTTCGACTTCCATTTGACAGAACATGGCCCTCGGGTACTTGAGTCCAGTCTTCTCGGCCTCCTTGCTTAACCCCATATCTGGCTCCTGGTCAGAAAGTATGTTTGCTGCAGTCATGAGACCATCTTCATGGGGCCAAAATATCCATAAGGAATTTCATTGCTCTTCTGAGACTCGGCAACATCTGTAGCTGGTTGGTATGTCACATTTCATGCCTGCTCTGAGGGCAGCATATAAAGAGATAATGAATGGTACATGACAGAACCATGTCTTTCCCATGCTGACCATCTCCCTGTCATAATTTCTCTTGTACCAGCACCCATGCCCAGTGGTGGCTCATCTGCTTTGGCATCATACAGATGCAGAAGCATACCTTGCTGGGATTGCTGCCCCTGCCAACCGCCAACCCCAACTATGGTCTCCCAAGGAGACTGACTCCTTATTGAAAAACTAATAACCACCACCTTAAGAAAACCACAACACAGTACAGTAGCAATGGGTTTGGCAGCCCTCGCTGCTGGAGAGACTGAGTCAGGAGGGGCTAGTTCTAGGCCATCTGGTGGCTAGTGATACTATCTCAATAAAACAAACACACACACACACCAAATGTTTACTTAGCGCTAGAAAAAAATTACATACTACACACAGTATAAAGATGTAATGTTTGATATGACAGAAGGGGTCTGGGTCTTTTGATTAAACTAGGTTAACAATCACTTATCTATGAAAGAAGCACTGAAACCGCAAGGTTTTTGGTTTGGTTTGGTTTTTTTAATGATAGGGTCTAACAGGGGCTATAGAGATAGATGGCTCAGCAGTTCAGAGTGCCTACTGCTCTTGCAGAGGACCAAGTTCAGTTCCCAGCACCCAGATTGGGTGGCTCACTACCTAGAACTGCAGTTCTAGAGGATCTGACAGCCTTCTTCTGGACTCCATGGACATCACTCTCAGGTGCACATACCCACTCCACCCCCCACATAGACATCTAATGAAATACCTAAAACCTTTATTAAAAAAAAAAAGAGGGTCAGGTGTGGCGGTGCACACCTGTAGTCCAATCATCCCAGATGCAGAAGCAGGCAGATCTCTGAGTTCAAGGCCAGCCATGATCAACACAGTGACAAGGCCAGCCATGATCAACACAGTGACATCTAGGCCAGCCAAGGCTATGTAGTGAAACCCTGTCTCAAAAAACCAAAACAGGGTCTTATATAATCCTTCCTGGCCTGGAACTCAATATGTAGATCAGACTGGCCTTGGACTTGCAACAAAAATCCTGCCTTTGCCTCCAGAGCACTGAGGTTACAGGCATGCACCACTCTGCCAACAAATCATTTTTCATGCTATTTTCAGACAGGGTCTCTGGTAAGCCAGGCTGACCTTGGCAGACTACCTTGAACTTCTTGGTCCTTCCTTCCTCCTGCCAACCAAGCGTGTTTTTATATATAGGAAACTATTCAAAAATGGAGGAAAGGTATTTCCTATGGTCTCCAAACATACAGTACCTTTTCAGTATGTAACAATAAAATTAACATAATTAATGACTTCTTTTTGTTTGGGGGTTTTGTTTTGCTGATAGAATGTCTTGCTATTTTAGTCATGTCTAGCCCAGAACTGGCTGTGTAAGCCTGTCTAGCTTTGAACTTGCAATGAATGACTCTCCTGCCCCAACTTCCTGAGTACTGGGGTTAGAGGCATGTGTTACCAACCAACTTGAGTGTAAGTGAACAACAACAACAAAAAAAGAGTGATTTACAGAAAATTGTGTGTTTATGTGCATAGGAGAATCTCACCATCTAGCAGCAGGGCAGGGGATCGGTTTCTCTGCTGGCCAGTGGATGGAAAATTCGGAAGAAGTTACATGGTGAAGTGTAGGCTGGGATGGTTCACGGGCATTGGGAATTTATCTGCCGGCAGGAATGGCTGCGGGCGTTGGGAGGGAGGTGGAAAGTCTTAAGGCTGTGAACATGATCCCTGGTCACTTGGCCTGAGCCTCTATCTTTCCTTTGTGACATGGACAGGCATAAGATCACAGAAGCTAAGACTAATGGGAAGTCACCTCTTGAGCTGTTCCTATTGTATAACCTCCTGCTTCTAAA